CCCCCCCCCCCCCCAAAAAAAAAACAATGATAGGTGCATTAACTCCAAAAAAGCGAGCAACGCCACATTACTGTATACTATACTGTTCAACCACATGTTCACATTTATTACAGTATTTTACTATTAAATTTTAATCATATTCCAGATGCTAAATTCTCTGTCTAATGCCTGATCAATTACTTTTTGAAACAACAGATGGTCTTACTCCACAAAATGTGGACATTGTTGATACATTTTAACAGGCCTTAAAATATCGGTCGGTCACGGACATTGTCCGACCCATTCGTGAAATTGTCCGACGTAGAGAGGAAACCACCGGACATTCTGTCCGACCTAAGTGAAACTGAGGTTTATTGTTCGTCCGACCCGAGTGTATTGGTGTCCGACCGAACTGAATAAAAGTTTAAAACCCGATAACGGTTTTTTGACAACTTTTAATAGTGTCAAAAACAAGACGGAGTGTAGGTGCTGCCCACCACACCCATACGCATCCTTCTGTCCAGCACTAATTTCAAATACGCAATATGAAAAAATTAAATAATTCAATAAGTAAAGACCATTAGACTAGTGTTAATAATTTGATAAACTACCAGTATATGTTGTATTTTAATTGACAACTAATGACGAAGATCAACCGATAAAAGCCTTTTTGGATAAATCTGACTTGAATGTTGACTGTTGTAACAAAATTTTTCGTTGGGTGGTGGAGGGCAGACAGCAGGTCATACCTGGCACTCACGTGACCCTGGGCAGAGCCCTGTATCTCATGAATGAATGTAATTATTTCAAAAGCATCTACTGTATGTAATCTGCGGTGTGCAACATAACAGTTGGTCGTCTGCCATTTTCCACGCAAAATTCCTGTACTTAATAGACAATTCCCATTATACACTAATTTTAAATCTAGGCAAAGAGGTGCAAATAAGTCACCACAGCTAGAAAGCTAGAGCATACTAAAATTAGTAATATTGCAAAGTTTGGTTGTGAAATGTTGTAAAATGCGGAAAATATAACCTTGCAAAGTTTGAAATTTTGTATACTTTTGTATTGCGTGTGGAAATGTGGTAGCAATTTCCGCACACAAGACAAAAGTACACAAAATTTGCAAAATTTGCAAGGCTATATTTTCCGCATTTTACAACATTTCGCAACTAAACTTTTGCAATTTTACTAATTTATACTTTTTTGCCAAGAAAAAAGTTATCAATGATGGGAATTGTCTATTGGCTGAACAACTTTTTCTGTTTGAGATCTATATTAACCCATTGAGTGGCACCTTGAATTGTCTGGTGTTGGACAGATTGAACTGATAAAGTACGGTACTGTACATTGCCACTTGAAGCCACGTGTTCAGAATTAACCCACTCAGTGGCAGCACTCTCCCCTTGACAATTAAATTGTCTGGTGTTAAACAGAGTAAATTAATAAATTAAGTAGGGTACATCAGGGCGCACTGCCACTTAAAGGGTTAATTAGTCACTGGCTGATATCATCGTCTGGTCACAACATGAGTTGACCTGACATATTGTCCGACCCAGTTTGAGAATTATTTTGCACTCTGTAACTTATTAACATTGAATGCTCTTACTGTACAGTGAATAGCCCGCGTGCAGGCCCAAGGGAAGAATAGTGGGCCTGCAATGTGGCTAGACCCGGTATTTTGCAAAACGCCCCTTTTCATAACACGCCCCATTCGAGCGTCAATTGTCAAAAAAGAACCAATGACAGCACCCAAATATTAACAAACAAACTCGCATTAAAATGTTGCGGTGTTTTCTCTGCTTATTCAGAACATAAACAATGTGTAAATGGCTCCGTTTTAACTCCAAAAAAGCAAGCAACGCAGTCAGTCCAAATTTGCAAGTGCTCATTTTCAACTAAAATCGGAACAGGCAAATTAGGACGAATTTCAACAGAAAACCAGTGTAAAACTTCAAATCGTGAGGGAAGTCGTGCGACCACATTAGCATTTATAATGTGTGCTTCGCTGTCGCCATTGTTATAAATAAATTGTCTCACTTATCAGATCGTGTGTGCAATTCTTGTTGGCGGCGGAAAGTACGAAATTTATTTCAGTTGTTTCATTTGGTAAAGAACTCGACAAAAGGAGAGAGCTTCAGAGTCCGGATCGTTTCGTTTCAAACGGCAATTAGCGTCTTCTGTTTCGCTCTCTGAGCGAAGCCTTGCAAATCGCAAAGTGTTTCGAATAGGCTTACATGCAACTGCCTCTAAATCTTCACCGCGAAAAGCGCTGTTTTCGTCAGTGCAAGGACAGAGTCAACATCAACCAAAAGATAATTTTCTTGAGGAATATATAACGTATCAAGTCTGTTTGAAATTAATGAAAGCAGTTAACTGTGATGAAACTCAACTCAAGTAAAGGTTACTATAGTTTACCCCAGTCGTACGGTTGCTATTCCAACACTTCACGACAAGCAATCACCATTGGCATAACGGCAAAAACATCTCATCCTTCAAGTAAACGATGAACAGTCTGTTCTTGTTCCATTTATAATCGAAAAAAGTGATCAATTTTCGAATTTTAAGCTTATCGAGAGCCTTTGTGATGAATCACTGACCTAATTATAGAATCCAACAGCAAACAGCCAATCAGAATGCCGCGTTCGTGGGCGAACGCGGAAAGTACAAAATACCGGGCCTTGCTTGCAGGCCCACTATTGTTCCCTTGGGCCTGCTCCCTTGGGCCTGCACGCGGGCTAGTAGTTTACCTGTAATTCGTATCAAGCAGTCTGCACCCGTTGTCAAGCGGTCATGTGGCAAAGTCCTGAAAATTTCATAATATATTATTATAAATACTATTTAAGTGACCTTTATTAACAGTCACCTCTATTAAACGTAAAAGTTGAATTCGCTTTATTTAGCTTTGCCAACTAGGGCAGGGTCACCACAACAGCATATGCCAATTACTGTGGGCCCTTTTTACCTAACCCACCCTGTCAACTTTCCCTGTGGGAGGAAACCGGAG